GGTTTTAGCTAAACTACTAGTTACCGTCATGTGAAGCAACTCTTCTCTGGGCCTCAGTTTCCTTATTTATAAAATGAAAAGATTGGCTATAGAATGTTCTTTAAGGTCCCTTCAGGATCTAACATTCTGAAATTATTAAATATTCTATTAAGATGGATAACAGCATAGAAGTCTCATTTATGTAGGAATTATTTATTAGGATGTATTCCAGTGAATAAGTTTTACTTTTCTTTTTACAAAGATAACATTGTTTAAGTTGGAAGTAGGGGATACTTAAGCTTTTACTTTAATCAGCCAGCGTTGAGTCCCCACTAAATACAAAAGTGATTTTACAGGCAGTTTATGGGGAAGAACATTCCTGACTGAAGCTCTTTAGCTGAAAAACTTCCCACTTTTTTTCTAGAGCCATAGATGTTACTGTACAAGTAGGAGAGTCAGAGCTGTAATCTATAACTGGAAGCGGAATTATTGCTGAACATTTTTGCATAATGGGTTTCAAATGTACAATTGTAGATAAAAGAGAAACTATATGGAAATCTTAGCTGTCTAGTAATGTCATATTATCATCTAATTTTTTACTTCCATTCTATTTTTAATATCATCTTGATAGAAAAGAATTATTTTTTGCCACTTTAAAAATTCATATCAGACCTTCAGTTAGTGCCCTCTAGTGGTATTTAAAAATCCCTTATTTTCAGTTGGAAGCACTGAAGCATTACAGACACAATTCAAGACATGTATATTGTAAATCTGCTTGGTAGATCTTGGTGACTATTCAGACACACTGAATCACTGCATCTGCTTTATAATTATGTGCCATTTAAAAGCCTGAAATTCACTTAATTATGAAAAAGGTTTTTTATTTTTGGTACTGGGGACTAAACTCAGGACCTTGTACTTGCAAGGCAAGTGCGTTGCCACTGAGTTAAATCCCTGGACCCCTACAAAGTTTTTTTTTTTAATGTTAGTTCCAAGTCCAATGACTGTTCTTAGATAGCTAGGACTTGCTGTTTCATTGTGTAATATATTGGGATGAGTGTAAATAAGTAGTGGCAAACCTATGGCATGCCTGCCGCAGCAGGCTGTTTGTATCATTGAATGCTCTAAAATGCTTGCCATCACTGCTGTAAATAATCCTTTAGGCAAGTCCAATTTTTAAAAACATGTTCTAACATACTTCAACTTTGCAATCTAATAGATTGATATGCTGCTGAAAGAGTATTTACTGTCTGGAGACATATCTGAAGCTGAGCATTGCCTTAAGGACTTGGAAGTACCTCATTTTCACCATGAACTTGTATATGAAGTAAGATTATTTTGTCATGCCAAAAAATTTTTTAAAATGTTCCTTATTGTACATAGTGACTTAATGCTTCTTTAGTAACATTTTTTGAAAAATAAATGGTTTTTAAATTATAATCCTTATAAAATTACATAATCATTACTTGGTATGTAATCATTCTCAATATTAGAGGAAAAATTTGGTACATTTGTAGGAGCAAATTTCTTTATGAATTATTTATTCTTTCATTCAATATTTAGGCTATTGTAATGGTTTTAGAATCAACTGGCGAAAGTGCATTCAAGATGATTTTGGATTTATTAAAATCTCTTTGGAAGTCTTCTACCATTACCGTAGACCAAATGAAAAGAGTAAGTGCAACATTATTTTGAACAATTTTGAGGCTTAAACTGTAAATACATATTGAATAAAGATTATGATTGTCAAGGAAAGTTTCTTTTAGGACATTTAATATTGTTGTCTGTAGGTTTTAATTTTTTTATTTTTTTGGTATGAGGGATTGAACTTGGGACCTTGACCTTGTGAGGAAGGCGGTGGAACCACTGAGCTAAATCCCCGGCCCCAGTAGGTTTTGTTTTCTTAACGGTAGAGTTTGAGATTTGAAACTCTTGTACCCCATGTCTTGGAAAGAAACACTGTAGGGTGATTATTCTACTTCAGGGGTTCAATTTCTAAGATATACTACTTTCTGATTTATATCTAGAGAAAAATACCAGTTTTTAACAAATTATACTTGTTTCATATTTAAAATTTTACATATTATTGTTGAAATGTTAGTGACGTATGATATTTGCTTTGTATTTTTTTTTCTTTTCTTTTTTTCTCTTTTGGTACTGGGGATTGAATTTGTGTCCTTGCGCTTGCGCAGCAGGTGGCGAAACCACTAAGCTAAATCCCTGGCCCTGCTTTGTATTTTTAAAAAGGTAGTTAAGTATGAAGTGAATGTGGATTTTGCCTGATGTCTGACGTTTGCCTGCAGCTGTTTTGAGTTCTAAAGAAAACATTCTGTAACAAATGTACTTCTGTACTTTTCAAAGGTTCAGATCTGATTTGTTTCATCATATAAACATTTGACCTTAAATATAGATTGATGTAATGGTGGATTGTGTTTTATGGAGTGTATTTTATATGGAATAACAATTCTACATATAATTTCATTGTTTTAGGGTTATGAGAGAATTTACAATGAAATTCCTGACATTAATCTGGATGTCCCACATTCATACTCTGTGCTTGAGAGATTTGTAGAAGAATGTTTTCACGCTGGAATAATTTCCAAACAACTCAGAGATCTTTGTCCTTCAAGGTACTTTATTTAAATAGTACTTTCTCAATGTAAAATACTGGAGGAGATACTTAGGAAGGTTATGCTGAGACAGTTTCCTGTTGTTCCAGTTGTAAGAACAATATATATATATGTGTGTGTGTGTATATATATATATATATATATGTGTGTGTGTGTGTGTGTGTGT